TGATATGGTTAAATAGATGACGGATTTATCCAGAATCAAACTCAATCAAAACTGAATAAATTGTTAATAAAAAAATTTTACAGGAAAAAGACATTGATTTAATTAAAGACAAGTCACCAGAATGGTCAGTATATGACGATTGCTATGGATCTGAGGGAGAATTTTGTAAATCTTGTAGTTGTTCTGTATGCAAATGGAAAGGTGATCCAGGCTGCATCCTGTTATGTAATGGTTGTGAAAAAGGTTTTCATACGAGATGTTTAAAGCCTCTGCTTAAAAGAATACCTGCTAGAAAATGGTATTGTAATGAATGTAAACCTATAAATTTAAGAAGATTGTTGTGTAAATTGCCTGATAATTCAAGTTCAGATTACGTTGACAATCAAATTGTTGAAAAAAATATAAAAAATTTAAAAAGTTTTGATAAAAAAAAAAAAAATAATAATAAACCAGATACTTTGAATTCAAATGACGAAGGTAGGCAATATGTAAGGAAATCTTTAAAGAAAAAGAAATCAAACCGTGGCAAAAGACGCAAGACATCATTGAATACTAGTATTATATCAAGTTTAATTGTATCTTTATCAGTATATTATATATAAAATTTATTTTTAAAAAAAATAATAGAAAATAAAACAAACGAACATGCAAATAACTAAATTGATAATATGGTAAAGGATATTAAGTTTCTGACAGTTTTTATAAACAATAAACACGTTAGTATTAGACAAGTAAAATTCTAGTGAGAAATTTTAATTTAATAGCCTATATCATTCATTTTATTATTTTTTAAAAGCGAACAGATAAAATAGTGAATGTTTCAATAATCCAATTGGATATTAATGCTCAGGTAAGAATCTATAATCAAATTTCAACAGATTTTAAAAAATTAAAATATCATTATTTCTTAAAAGCGAATAGTTGAAATAGAGAATACTCTAGTAATCCAATCTGATATTAACACTCAGGTAAGAATCTATAATTGAGTTTTGATAAATTTAAAAAAAAAATTAACATGGGATTTCTAAAATCAAAAGGAATCAATCCTACAACATGACAATTCTCGAAGTTCACTTTTCCTGCACTTAGAGAATCAAATCAAAGATCTAATTGACCATGAAGATAATATGTCAAACGAAAATGATATGTCATTTGAAGACAGTCAGTCTCTACAAGTATAAAAAGTCTTAAATATAATAAACCTTGTATTCTATAATTACTATCTAAAATATATATAATTTTATTTACTAAAGCCTGATCAGATAAGAATCATAATATGAATAAATTAACTTGATCTATGTCTAACATAAATAGAACTTAAAATCTAACAGAATGAGATGAAAAAATATACTGATATCCAAATTAATAGAGATCCAATACCAATAATAATTTATAATGATGCTCCAAACATTCTTAAAGAAATTTTTAAAAAAATATTTGACACGTGGATTGAATTTTCGAATTTTTTGCTGGTGCCAAGTTCAATACCAGAAGCTATTTAAATTGAAGAAGAAGAAAATATCGAAAGTCAAATTAAAAATATTTGGGAAAAAATTTCTAACAATGAAGAAAGTTATAATTATTCAAAAGTATTATACATCCATACCCTTTGCGCATTGGTACTTATATCATTTAAAGTAACAAAAAGAATAAGGAACTAAAGAAATCTAATCAATTCTTTGTTCCCAGCCATAAATCATGCGATCAGTTAGCAAAATAATGATTCTTTTTCAAACTAATATGTATGTATAGTTTTTACTTCAGTGAGCCCTTTAAAATTGTGATTATATAATTAATCACTATCTGCTATTAATTTAACATTATTTATATTATCGGTTTAATGTTCGGTTTACATATCTACCGGCACTCAAATGATATCTGATATAAAACTCAATTGTTTTAATATACGTGAGCATATATATGATGCGTGGAATAATGCTTAACCATTTTGCGGCCAGAAGAATTTAATAATAATAATTGCCCTAGACACTTTTTATATTCACATAGATTTCCTATAAATTATGCAATGAGCATAATTATTAAAATACTTTGTAATTTCATTAGCAGCACCTCGATTATACTTAAGCAGAAGCAATAACATTATTCTCTCAAAAATATAATGTCCTTGTTTAAAAAAATAATGTTCAACAGATTTAAGTACATTGTAATTATGTTTTCTAAAATAACTGCTATGAGTATTAAGTTCACTTGCTAGTTTTCTTAGATTATTTTTGATTTCTTTTGTTCAATCGATTTACCAAATTCTTTCTGCAAATTTTCTACTACTTCAATGAGCATATTAAGATACTCATAATCGATATTACAATGAGTCTCTAGTGCTAAGGACATATTAATGTGTGTTCAACTTTTAATATATCTAGGTACTTTTAACTGAGGCATTATTAAAATTTTTTAGTATTGTCTAGAAATATTGTTA